ACGGGCTCGGGGATATACCCGCGCCAAGATGAAAAATTCCCATTGGCAAAACAAACCCCGGATGATTCTAACCAGAATCGGCCAGGGGCTACCTGGTGCGCTCGCGCACGCACCAGCTATCAACCTGAAGAATTCGCTGTTGGCAAAGCAAAAACCCTGATGATTCTACCCGAATGGCCGCGGCTTGAGGGCTACACCCAGCAGGTGCGCTCCTTTGCACCCACTGTTGTCAAATGAAAAATCCCGGACGATTCTACCTACATTCGCTCGGGGCTCGAGGGCCTCTGTCGGGTTCATAAACCCAGGGTCCCTAATGGACTAGCTTCCCAAAAAAAGCTCAACCCAAGCGAGACGGCGTTACGAGCGGCGCTTTAACTCCTTGGCGGCCCGGATACCCAGCGACAGGGACGGAAGGCCTAGCCAAGAAGGGCGACCCTCACTTCGACTCCGACCCGCCTCTCCGTGGCCGGAAGGCCTAACCAAAGAGGGCGATGCTGCGCCTCGACTCCGGCCCGCCTCTTCAATCGGAAGGCTTTGGCCAAGGAGGGACGACGTTGCTTCCGACTTGACTTCGCCTCTCCAGCCGGAAGGCTGACCAGGAGGGACGGCGCCTCGCTCGACTCTAGGCCGCCTCTTGACCGGAAGGCCTAGCCAAGGAGGGACGGCGGCCTTCGCTTCAAACTCAACTCACCTCTCCGTGGGAAGGCTCGGCCAAGGAGGGACGATGCTCGGCTCTAACTCTAGGCCGCCTCTCCACCGGAAGGCTGGCCAAGGAGGGGCGGCCTTTCGCTTCCGACTCCAACTCGCCTCTCCGACGGGAAGGACACCGAACCTCACTGCTTACGACTCTTCTCCGACCATCGCGGTCGGCCGACCGAAACAACCCGAATGGGGAGGCGCGCTCGGTAAGGAGCCAAAGAGTCGAGCCCGAGCAAGTAAAGCGGGGGTGTTGAAGTCAAACCGCATATCTGAGGACCGTACCACTGCACACATGCGGGACGATCTGTCGAGTCATGTCGGAAGGTGCTCCGCAACCTTCCAAACGATGTCGTAACACGAGCAGTGTTATGGGCGCCGACATTGCCCTACAGTATGGTAGGCGCCGACAATGGCCATACCGGAAGAACACGATGGAACCAACCATATGCATCGAGGCGTCAGCGGTGTTGTGGACACCGATAGACCGCCTTGTGCCCGGCGACATGGGGAACAAGACTAGGTATACGCACACTCTCTTCATTCACTCTCTCTTGTAAAGCCGTCACCTTCATCTATAAAGGGGATGCGCTCTCTCCAAAAGGAGGGCGATCGATTCACATAGGCGATTCCAGCGAACAACCAACAAGCGGTTGATTCCGATTCTCTATGCTTGGCTCTAGAACTCTAAAGCGAATGAGAGCATACGTTCGAACACTTAGCGCATGCCGGAGCTCCTGTCACTCTTGGCCCTTGGTCCGGGAGTCCCGACCGGACCTCCGATACCCCCATCTTACTCCCCTCTCGTTTGTAACCCCACAACAAACTTTGAGCACACTGGCTTAGAATAAAGTCTCCGACCGACTTCGGGCCCGGGCGTAGTGAGCACGTTGCTGACCAAAGTATAAACCTGTGCCATTGAGTGCTAGGCCACATCCGATCTGGCAACGTCACGCAAAACTACAAATATTTACGTTTTGGTCACTTTTACGCACCGGCAGATCCACTTTTGTGGCTTCGTCATCCGGTCTAAAAAATGGCTCTGTCTCCTCTACTATTCACCATAAAACTATTTTTCTTCTAAAGTGTTTGGTAGAGCTCCTCCGTAGAAGCTGCTGTGTCGGGCGAGAGCCGGGCTGGAGCCATGCCAAAGAGGCTCTAAAAGTTGTTTGGCCTTCATTATTGTCTCGAGTCTTCGTGACAATGAACTCAAAACTCCTCCTCATTGATAGTTCATACACGATTGATTAAAGAAAAGGTGATGTAGTTAAGCACTTAAGCTTCATGCTGCATGCCTGCATGGCAATATTATTGCTCAATAGATATGCTTCGTTGATTTGTTGTGAGGAAAACACTGTTCATTTACTGAAAAATATTACTGGAGTAGTTTAAGCGAACAGGGCCATACGTATTTGTCCGAAAACTATTTGTAAAGAAGTGTTTCTGGAAGAAATGACATCACATCATGCTGAGGGCTGCACTGCTTGCGAATGAAAAAGAGGCAGAGAGACAGAGAGTGGGGGCAAACCAAGCAAAGGGTATTGGATTCGGAGACATGGCCTGTTTGGATTGCAGCGTGGGAAGCTGCCTGGGCCAGGCATCACTCCCAGGCGTTCGATTTTGAACGCCTGAGGTCGGATGTGCATGCCTGGCCGGAGCTCCCAGACGAGGCCTGCATACACCGCCTGCATGCTGCATCCTTGGACAAAAAAGACGCCTGCGCTATTTCATCGCTATGTGCATGCAACCGGTACATGAGACAAACGACGTCCCATGCAAAATTTTGTCACAACCCCAGCCTCCTGCACATACGCACACGACCACAGAGCGACCGGCAGCCTCTTCCTCCTCACCACCGCTATGCACACACCCACACACGTCGTCAGTGATCTGTGCAGCACCAGGACTGGATCGATCGGAGGCTGTGAGAGCGCAGGTGTAGCTGCTGCTGCTGCTTCAGTACGCACATGCACGGCAGCGCACAGCGCCGGCCATGCATCAGGTAGGGGCGCCTGCTGCTGGCTGAGCTGCTGCGTGCTGCTCTCGCTTGCTCACGCCCAGTCGTCGTCACCAGCAGTCTCCGACCGATCCCTCGCTCTTTAGCCTTGCTATACATACGGGTAGTACATAGCAGCCGGCCGCTAGCTAGGTCATGATCGCCGTCGTCACAGGACCAGGGCGCAGCGAGGAGGGCAGGCGCAGCAACACCACCATGCATGCACGCCCTGTGGACGACGACTACACCGAGGACGAGGAGATCTTGGCTCCACCCGCTGGCGCTGCCGTCACCTCCGCCTGCCACCTCCCGGCGATGTCGGCGGCGGCCCTCAGCGCGTCCGCGCCAGCTCAAGCAGGCCCCGGCCGGAGAATCCCACGCGGTACAGCCCGTTGGGACCCCTCCACCAGTCGCCGCTCGCCTGCTCAGCCTTTGCCTTGCCGTCCTCCGTGAACAGCTCGCCGTCGTCCTGCATGTGCCCACCACGTACTGATCAGTAACAGCAGTTGATGGCCGGGTGTCGTGCGCGTTTGCGTTCATTAAGTTGCATCGGTTAGCTAGCTAGGCGTGGCGGCAGCAGCGGCCGGCGACGACGTACGTACCTTGAGCCAGAAAGGGACGTTGCTTCTGTAGCCGGTGGCGAAGATGACGGCGTCGAAGGCCATCTCGTTGCCGTCCACGAACCTCACCCCGTTGCCGCCGGTGAATGACTCCACTTCTGGCACGATCTGCATCATTAGAACATGTATATGCATGTATGTTATGTATGGACAAATAAAATGGTTTGAACGAAGGTCAAATTGAATGTACACACCACTACAAGACATGTAAGTACGTCGCTACAAGACACACCAAATCGTAATAAGGTTACTATAGCTACTTTGCTGCTCATAAGTGATCGACGGATGGAAATATCGGACCACCATTACATGATTGCATATTGCACAAAGCTGCTGCTAGCTAAGCCAGCGTGTAGCTAGAGACCAGTACGCAAATAAGGGCATTGGTGACTGGTCCATGGAGATGCTATTTTTGTTCAGCTAGCAGTTTATTTTGTTGTCATGCATGCATGATGCTATGCGCCTCAGGATTTGTGAACAAGATGACAGCTACCCCGCCCGAAGTACAGACGCCTGCATGCTGCATGCACCAGGCAGCCGGCAGGCCACCTAGCTAGAGCAAGAGGCCGGCCCGGGGACGGGGAGGGTAAAAAAAATGAAGCCATGGAGCCCGGCAAAGAGGCTTGCATGCATGTATTCAGATAAAACTGTAAAAAAGTAGAGAAAAAAGTATTCACACTCACAGCTCACGCACGCACCAACAGCAAGGGATAGGGATAGGTGAAAGAATGTTTTAGAAATCTCAAAAGTGAAAGCTAGCGTTGGCATGACATGCAAAAGGAAGGAAGGAGGTGAAACCTAGAGACAGACGACACTCCTTGCTCCATGCACGAACGAACGACACTCTTTACTCTTTCAGTGCCGACTTTTGACAGCCCTCACCTTGATGTTTCCAGATTTGATGAACGACCATGCTCCCACGTCCAGAACAGGGCTCTTGCCGGCGATGTTCTTGATCTCCAGCGGGCCCAGCTTGGGCCTCCTCAGCCCGTGCTTCTCGGTGTCTCCCAGGATCATCTTGGCGACGAGCAGCAGCAGCCTGTCCACCAGCTTGATCGGCAGCCATCTAAGCAGTTTCATGGCGATGCCGAACGTTGAGGCCCCAAACATCTCTCTCGGTAGAACGTGCACCTGTTTCATAAGTACAATACATTACTAGTCCGACATGTATAGATTGTATATATGTTAGCATGATGAATAATGATAACCTCTTATGAATGAAAGAATAAAAGGATCCATGCCTCTAACTAGTACTAATAAAAGCCATACATATATATAGAACTTGTCTTCTTCATGGAATTAAAGACTAGCAATGCAACATATATAGTAGAATACTACGGAAGTCCCAGTTCCTACATCTAGAGAGAACTTAACATTTGCTAAATTTGTTTTTTAAAGAGAAAAGATATCATCATGTGATCAAGTAAGCTAAGCGGCAATTATATATGTAGTAGATGAAACTTAAGTGTGTCCAATATATAGTAGTATTTGGCAAAGGTATAGCAAACTGATAAGAAGCTAGTAGCTAGAGGATTATATTGTAGGAGTACGTAGCTAGGAAGAAGATGGAAGAAGGGCTAGCTGGTAGCTTACCCCGCTCCTGACGGACATGAAGGGCATGGCACCGTGCTCACACAAGTCCAAGCACATCTCCATGCCGGAGTTGCCACACCCCACGACCAGCACCCTCATGCCCTTGAACCTCTCCCCGCTCCTGTACGCGCTGGAGTGCAGCACCTCCCGGCGAACCTCTCCCCTCCCTTCACCGTCGGCACCACCACCTCCGCGTTCTCCCCGCTGGCCACCACCAGCCACGGCGACACGTACTCGGTCTCGGTCTCGGTCGTCGTCGCCACGCCGCCGTCCGCGGCGGCCGAGGTCGACGACGACACCGCGGTGACCCGCCAGAGCGACGCGTCCGCGTCGTAGCGCGCGCGGGTCACCGTGCGCCCGAACAGCGGGGACACGTCGAAGCGCGCGGCGTAGGAGCGCAGGTAGCGGAGGAAGTCGTGCTTCGTCGGGTACGTGGGGAAGTCGGCCGGGAAGCGCGCGTGCGGGAGCTCGCAGAACACCTGGGGAGGTGCAGCCGGAGCCGGTCGTACGTGCGGTTCGTCCACAGGTCGGCGATGCCGTCGGAGCGCTCCAGCACCGTAAAGGGCACCGCGTGCTGGCTCAGCGTCGCCGCCACGGCCAGCCCGGACGGCCCCGCCCACGATGATGGGGCCACGCACCAAGCACGCGGCGGCGGCCGAGCTCTCCTGACGCTTAGGGCTACCACCAGCATCTTGCTGCCCCTGCATGGCGGCCGGCCGGCGCAACAACCAAGCCAATGCAAGAACCCACCAATGAGCTAGAGCTAGCTTATTAGCTACAGTATATATATGTAGCTAGCTAGGCAGGAACGTCTTTTACCACTCCCCTTGCATGCACTACAGTGACAGTGTAAGCACGGAGGGGAGTTGAAAAAATGAAAAGGTCTAGTGAGCTCCTCAGGCTACTACCTGACGAGGGTCCCTCTCCCCTATATATAAGGGGAGGTGAAATGTAAAAGGACTGCTTACATTGTACATATGGCCCATTTTTATCACCACTGTTGGAATGATTGCCACCAATCTTTTCAGGACGAAAAAAAAACAATAGTTTTTCTCCTCTTATTATTTTAGTACATCTTTGGATATTCTAACTTCAAGAAGATGTGTGCTCCTCTGCAGGAACCCCTAGAACTCAGAGATCATCATCAAATCTGATATGAGATCCTATCATGCAATGCACTGCATTTCGACAGGCTAATCGTGTACGCGCCATTGCCAGCATATGCATGAACATTGTTTCCCGTGTTGCTTCCGCGGATCTTAAGATGAATCCTTCAAAGTTGTCCTTGGTCTCTGTTCATCCAACCAATAATCACTAATCTCCTTGTTCTCTGAATGATAAACATGGTTATTGCTGCCACATACCATATATCCATAGCGCAGAAACTATATATACAAATGGGCTTTCTTCTGAATGTATAGCATTAACATGGTGGAGCACAACTCCAGGAAATTGCTGGCAAGTAGAAAGTCCTGAACTGGGACATTCTGGTGTACTTTGACAGACAGCCTAGGTCAACCCTTTTGCTTAAAAATAAGATCCAGAAGGATCTTCAGAGCTTACTTTATTAGCAGCCTATCACCTAGCTACTTGGGACCTACTAGTTGCTAACTAATTTCACATTTGGACTAATGAACCAGCTTAGTGTGGAATAGGAAGCAGGGAGGAAGAACCAGCTTAGTGTGGAATAGGAAGCAGGGAGGAAGGACACACAGGGGAAGAAACCCAGATTCATTGTTGCAATTTGTAATGGTTTACTTTGTAATTGACTTGTATGTATCATCAGATAGGGAAGAAGTAAATGGCGCATACTGAATCTCTGGCACAGGTGATCATCAAAAGCTACAGATTCATGAGATGCTGTCTGGTTTAGGCCCCCCCTCACAACTACAGGAATGGTTTCTAGGGGCGGCTGGTGAGGCTTTGTAGAGGCGGCTCGGCCAGCCGCCCCTACCATACCGTCTCTACAAATCATGTATTTGTAGGGGCGGTTCCCAGACCGCCCTTACAAATCGATTTGTAGAGACGGCTGGTGTTATCAGCCGCCCCTACAAATCGATTTGTAGGGACGACTGATAACACCAGCCGTCTCTACAAAATCGATTTGTAGGGGCGACTGTAGTACCCGTCGCCCCTATAATACCTGTTTGTAGGGGCGGTTCAATCTAGAACCGCCCCTATAATACCTCCAAGTCTGGCCAATAAGACAGATACTGAAAGAAGATCGATTGTTTCTTGAAAGGTACGTCTTCGACAGGTGGTGTGCTTCTATCTCTGTTCGTCCCATCCGGATTCTTCTTTCCATAGACGACGCGTATGTTTTCACCATTCTGTACACGTGTTCTCCGTTATGACATCTCTCCGGAGGGGGTTCAATCTTCGGGGTGTTGTCATAAAATCTAAAGAACAATTTGCTGCGGTACCTGTGACTTGTCTTTAAGAAGCGTCGGTTCCTTAGGTAAACTATCTTCTTGGATGCATCCAGGAACACCCATATAGTACCATCCAAGCAAACTAAGCATCCCGTCTTCCCTTTGATCTATCCGGATAAAGCAAACAGTAGCAGGGTAATCATTGGTAGTAACAAATATTATTGCTCTACATATGAAGTCCTCTTTTCAGAATGAATCATACATCGGCTCCCCATGCCTCCATAGCCTCTCCATTTCTTGCATCAAAGGCTCAAGGAACACGTCTATATCAGTGCCTGGTTGTTTAGGGCCAGAAATAAGAATAGTGAGGAGAATGCACTTTCTCTTCTGACACAACCATGTTGGGATGTTGTACATGGTCAAGATCAACGGTCCAAGTCTTTGTGGTCACTCATCCTCTCATTGAAGGATTCATTCCATCGGTGCTCATGCCAAACCGTACATTCCTTGGGTCATCGCTGAATTCTTTGTGCTTCTCATCGATCCTTTGCCAATGACTACAATCAACCAGTGTGCAATCTTATCATCATCCACGTTAAGCTCTTCATCCCACCATGTCATGAGTGTGGCTTCTTTAGGGTTTAGGAAGATACGTTTTTAAGCGGTCGGTCCTTTGGCAGTACCACATTACCAAAGGCGAGGAATTATTCTCTGCTTTTTGCATCGTTGCTAATGGAGTGTCCTCTGGGAAATTTGAGATTCTTGTACCACCTTTTTCGTACCCTTTTATTCCTCTTTTTTTCCCTATGGAGGCTTCATCCCCACCGTAAAGGTCATTGTTCTTGTATCTTGGCCTGCCCCACACCGGGGACATTTATCCGATGACTTGAGCGTTTCGCCACGAAAAAAGATATAGTGGTTGGAGCATGCATGGATTTTTTCAACCTCCATTGTCAATGGACTTATGACCTTCTTCGCTTGGTATGTGTTGGCGGGGAGGCGAGTTTGGTTGTGGCGGCACCTATGACGAGGAGACACAATAGATCATTGAAACTACTGCTGACCACCGTACTTAGCCTTGGGATGAGTAGCTCAAGCACAAAATGTAGCAATGTCCGATTAATGTCGGACAACCCTTTTCAACACCATACACAACCTCCTTGATGCTTTTTTTCACCCTTTCAAAAATTTCTAGACCTTTCGGGCTCTTTAGTAAAATCTCTGGTCCAAGGGCTCGAATCATGTCCTCTAAATCATCTTCATCCACGACACGTTCTCCGCCATCATTATTGGCACCACCTTCGTCGTTACCATCCCAACCACCATGTTCATTGCCAAACTTGGGATCCATTCGTGCTTCAAGCTCTGCTAAATATTGGGATAGGGATTCTAGAGTTTTGTCATCGTATTCCTCCTCATCCTCGTCATTAACAATAATCGTTTCACCACGATGAATCTACACTATGTAGTCCTCAACAAATCCTCGCATAATCAAATGTGATATGATGATAGTCACATCTGTCCATGCCATACAGTTCTTGCAATCTTTACAGGGACAAATAATTGTATCCTTATTCTCTATCAACGTCGTTGCATGCTTCTCTGCGGCTTCAATAAATTTATCCACCTCTTTACGGAAACCTACCTTGAACGTTAACGAACCATACATCCAAGAGTTCCTGTACTCCATATTTTACAACAACAACAACAAAACAAACATTAAAGGACTACTTATTCAGATATATATATAAATGAATTAAATTAATAATTACTTGAGAATAATTGTATATACTTCAGATATATATGAATATAAATCAAATATAATTACATGAAGCATACAAACACACCATGGTAGAGGAAAATTAATTAATGTCCTATTTATCCATAAATAATTAAAATACATATTTGTTGATTACAATAAATAATTTCAAAGACAACAATTAGCAACATTTATATTTTACCCAATATCTTTCATGCAAACCTGTAACACCTCGGGTGTTTTAAATACTAAAACCTGTCATGTCATCATATGCATTGTACATCATTTCGTATTAGTGAAAATTTTGATGTGCATTCACTAAAACAAGTTTACATTTATGTTATATGTGTTGCCTTGTATGGTTGAATCAATTTCAAAAGAATTGTGTTGTGCTTTGAATTTTCGAAAACCCTAAATTCTGCATTTAAGTTTACCCTAAAAAAACCATTTCAAAATCTAAGCACATTTTGGGGTTGAGCCTAAAAGCAAAAGTGTAGAGCTTGTCAAGATGTACAAAGTTGGTTTTTTGGAGTTTTCAAAGTTGTTTTATAAAATTTGAAGTAATTTGAAAAGGCGTAATTCTTTAAATGTCCCCTTTTTGAATTCAAACTTGCATTTCAAAATGTAGACCGAATTAGGGGGTGGTTATAAAAGCAAAGTTGTAGAACTTTGAATTTTGAACAACTTTTATTTTTGGAGATTTTTGAGTTGTTACATAAATTTGAGAGTAATTTGGATTTTAAATCAAATGGCAATTTTGTAAATACGGTGAACAGTAGCCGTGGAAGCCAGCTCACCGCCGGTGATCTTCTTTCTGCTTCCAGGCGCGGTCGTGGTCGTCTTTGGCTTCGCGCTGGCGTGGAGAAGGCCCCTGCGTGGCTTCTCTTTGCTTCCTGGTCGCCTTTAAAGTCGTGGCATCGCCGCCATTCTTCTGTTCTCCTCCTCTGTTTTTCCAGTCGCCGCTGCCATAGCTCCGTCGAGCTCGCATCGCCTCCTTAGAGCAAACCAGCCTCGGCAGAGCACCGTCTGAGCTCCCCTTGCTCCTTGCGCACCCAGCCGACCTACCATTGCAGCTCGAATTCTCTAGGAAACACCGTTCGTTGCTCTTCTTCTTCACGGCCGGCAGCATCGCCGTTGAGTGCGCGTCGTCGTGGCCAGTCCTCCACGGTGCGCCTTTACTCTTGCTCTATGTGGCTCCAGCTTCGCCAGGTTCCCGTGATGCTCTATGACCGGTTGTTTGATCCTTCTGACCACCGCAGCCACTGGAACATCACCGTCGATGTTGCTTGCGCCGCCGTGACCGCTGTGACCATCGACCCGCTCCTCCGTTGCTCTTCCGGTCCAGTTTTCTGCTCCAGCGTGTTTAGGGTGAGCTCCTGGTTCTTCCCGTGTTATTTGTTTCACCGCTTCCAGCTTCGTTTCGCCGGCGTAGAGCCACCGAGCCGTCGTGTCCGCCATGGCCGGCGTCGTGCTCGGGCCAGTCCATAATTGGTCTCGCTTGTGCCACAAATCAATGCGCTGTGATGTAGTGATCATGTTAGTACCTTCGTCGTCGCCGATGATATGCCGTCGGCGA